TAGCAACCATCGCAGCTGAATTGGAGCTAGTCGAAATAGTCATTTATGTACTGAAACTTCATTGCCATCAACAAGAAGTATACTAGTGGTATCAGTATTAATGGTGGTGACGACGAGATCCATTTGATTGTCTTCATTGGAATCACTGGTTGCGACCGATCATGTTATAGAACTAATTGGAAAAGATCTTGACATCGAAAAGGTTCTATTCACATAGCCAAGCAGTACATAAACAGCATTGACCTTAAAAACTACAGTTAGCGATATCCAATCGATTGTTATTATTGAAATCTTCGAACAACAATAAAAGATGGATCAAGGTGATACCATAGGTGGATATATAAGGCGACAGGTAACTGCTCAGCGGCAGAAAGTACAGCGAAATATAAAGAGGTTGAGTCTCTACCAAAAAGTGTTCCAAAGGAATAGGCATATTTGAGGTATGAGCGTAAGTATTGATTTCCTCTTGATCCGTATCTGCATCCATATACTCAAATTCTAAATAAGAGAAATCTTATATCTCCTTAGCTTTTCTTAACTTCAGTGAATATCAAAAGAAATTGAGACCATCAAACAAGATTATCGAAATATTTTTAGCATATTCTGCACGGCTCGTTATTCTCCTTTATCCATCATTATAGGACATTTATCCTCACAAATATGTGTAACGTTGATCGAAAGCAAAACGAGCGTAAGAATGTATTTTTCGAAGAAGTCAAATAAGTTTTTCTTTGGCAATCACAGTACAAAAACACTGACGTGTGCTTTCGTTTCTTTTTCTCCATGACATGACGATGAATAGAATTTGTCAAATTTCAAAGAATTACATTCATTCATAAGGATTCTCTCCTTATTGAACAAGTTCGAACATTGAATACGCAAGTTTTACTCATTTCTGTGTAAGACGTGATTCTTAAGTTTTCTTCGTAGCATCTGATATAACATCGAAGAAAAGAGATAACGACTTTGTGTTTTTACTTTTTATACAACGTTAAAACTGTCACCTTCTTCTTATCGTTCGATTAACCCTGAGATTTATTTCTTGTTGATTTTTATATTTATGTGAAAAACAAAAAAATACGTAAGCTAAAGCAATAATTTAATCCAATACACTTTTATCTCACATAATCTGTTTCTTTTTCAGCTTTCCACGAAAACATTTTCTGATATGAGAATTCAAGAATAAGACCGACCAACGTCAAGATAACGAACTCTTTATATTTCTTTTTCTCTGAAGTGAATTTCGTCATCGATTAATCATAACCATTATCAATTTGATCATAAAGAGTTGATAATAGAATAACTAGCGTTTTTATTTTCGATTCAACTATATACATAATAGAATAAAGATGTTTGTCATTGTAATTCTCTTCTCTGTATTGTTTTGCCATGATATCTCAGTTCATACGGCTTTGATCAATTACGATTTAATTGTTCGGTCGATTCCATCGAATCCTGATGGATATCCACGATCAGTGATCATTATTCATCATGCCAATTCTTCATGGAATATCGATCGACCATTTCCTGGTCCGCTGATTCGAGCTCGTCTAGGTGATCAACTACGCATTCGAGTTCAAAATAAGTTACGTGACCAAGCTACTGCTATACATTTTCATGGTCTCCATATGTTGGCTAATCCATGGGCTGATGGAACCGAATATATCACTCAATGTCCAATTCTTCCACATAGCTCGTTCATTCACGAGTTCAATGTAACACAAACAGGAACATTCTGGTATCATTCGCATAATGCTCAACAATATGCAGATGGACTGTACGGTCCGATTATCATCGACGGTGATCCCATTTCACAACATTATGAATACGGATCGAATGATCAAACTATTATGCTTCAAGAATGGTACCACGAGACATGGCCAGATATCATGACTGCATATCAAGGTCCTCACGGTGCCTATCCTGGTAGCGTAGCAATATATCCATGGCCACCGACTACGTTTCTTATCAATGGTCATGGTCGATTTGATTGTCGCACCAATGATTGCTCGAGGAATGACACTTGGAAAGATAGATGTGGTAATGTTTTTCCAGCTCAATGCATTCCTCTTCGTGATCCTTTTTTCGGTCCTTGCATTCCAGATGCACATCCGATCGATGAATTCCAATGTTTGCCTGGAAAACAAATGCGCTTACGATTAATTAACGCTGCTAGTGGTATTCCATTTCGATTTTGGATCGATCAACATAATCTTACCATTGTCGCTCGAGATGGAAGCGAAATCGAACCTATTACTGTTTCTTATTTACATATTCCCATTGGACAACGATTAGATTTGATCATTAACTGTAATCAAGATCCAACGTCTGCTTATGAAATTATTGTAGCCAGTCGAAATAGTTTTCAACCACCAGAAATAATTATTGGACAAATGCCTACTATGTGGACAACCGCACGACTCGTTTATCCTCAATCGAAAGCCAATATGCGCACGACAAACGTCAATGAAGAGATGAAAATCAATGCTGAAGACCCGTTTTTTGAATACAAATATCTGAAACCATTGCTGCCACGTCGGGCCAAAGCTGCCATTCGACGAGTAACTCTCACTTTTGTTGTTCATTGGAATAATCGAACCGGTATCGACGCTCTAGAAGAGTGGGCTGTCAATAATATTACATTTGAACCACCGAAAGAACCACTTCTTCAAGGTATTTTCCTTGATGGAACCGATAAACACATTTTAGCCACTGAATATCCGGGTCGTGTTAATAATACTCATGCCACTTACATTGAACATTTCGAGTACGGTCAAACTTACGAAGTAGTAATGATCAACAATGATCCACAAGAACATCCATGGCATCTGCACGGTTATACGATGGATTTTATTGCTGCCGGACGACTTCCTAACAGAGAACTTCCTCCCTGTAATCAACCTATACCTAGATCAATGGATATCAATCTCGATTCGCTATTGCCACCACTGAACTCGACGCCACCCGTTTTAGCTGTGGGCGATTCTTTCAACGCACCTCGAGATAGTTATGTCGTCTTTCGTTTTAAGGCCGACAACGCCGGTCCTTGGTATCTTCATTGCCATATGGATTGGCACATTTCGCCTGGTATGGCACTTGCTTTCTCGGTTGGCCACAAGGGTTCTTATCGAGATTTAATTCAACCTCCACCTAAAGACTTTCCAACTTGTGGCCCAAGGCAAATACTTGTTTACAAATCAACATCGTCTCATATCGCACCTTGCACTTTATTTAACAGTTCAATGATCTTAATTCTAATGGTTTTTGTTCATTTTATCACTTTGTATGTTTGAATGATGATACGAAGCTCAATATCTAATTAGGAAAAAATATTTTTCTTTGTATAATATAGCCTTTCTAAATGTCAATTTTGCCATTGAAAACGTTGATTCAATAAAAATCCGTAAAGAGAAGTTTATGTCTATGCTCTTTTCCTTCACTGATTAGTAGATGGTACCATTGATTTTTATTTTATTTTTGAATTCGAAGTTCTTCACTTTTACGAAAGATCAAAAATTATTTTTAAGACTGAAAGTTTGCATCAATATGATTGTTCTCGATAGAAGAAGTCAAACGAAATCCAAGTAGATTAATGAAAAAAGACGACATTGAATGAGCTTTCATTATACTGTCAATGACTCTTTAACTTCTTCTTAAAATTGTTTTCGAAAAGTGTCGAACATGCAAAAAAAATGAATGATATACATTCGATAACAATTGAAGTATCGTTCGTTTTCTTTTTGCAACGTCACGATTTGATTACTTGGTTTTATCTTTGTGTGTCAAACAAAAATGGATCAACCTCAATGCAAATGGAAGTGACTCAAAGACTTTGAAGCACGTATCGCAAAGCAAATATCACAAGTGGAATGAATTTATTCGCAGAAAAAAGATATTGCTTTTTGAAGTATAAGAATGTGGAGGTGTGTCTGAATACTACCTTTATCTACACTCATGTTCGCATATACCCATGCCACTATGATATGCTATCGACAGGTGTCGGCACATGTGTTGGCAACATGACTGTCTCGATGGATGATTAATAAGAGTATTATATAGACTGACAAGAAGGAACAGAAAAGCAAAGAAATATACTCTATAAATCGGTTTTTTTTTGGAAAATTCAGTTTTAACTTAGATTTAAACATGTTATAGAACAATTAATATTTTGTAAATCAGATTTTTTTTCTTCTTTTGATATATCTATTTCTAATATATATTTTTCTTTTTTTGTTTTTAAACAGTGTAATCACTGATTTAGCTTTGTAAAATTCATTTTAGTTTATTGTGAACCTTTCAATTGAAAAAAATTCTAAATAGTCAAAAAAAAATTAGTTTTTTGCTTTTTATTTTATAGGCATCATTTTTTTTAATGTTTTAAAATGAAGGAGAGAGAGAGAGACTTCTCATCACAGGTGTTCATTGGTCGAATAGTAGCAAGAAAAAAAGTCAAATAGAATCTTTTCAAAAAATGATACTGTCAAATTTGTGACACAAGAGTCATACATCTGCCAATACATAATTACACTGACAAAAATGTGACTGGACTTCATCTGTCACACAACTTGTGTCGATAGCGTGTCATATAGACGTAGAATAATATATTGGAAACATCATTCACTCTCAATAAACTTTAAGCGAAAATGCCATACAAAAAGAGCATTTTCATCTCATCTAAATTACGTAAATTCTGAATGATCTCAATTCAAGCATGCAAAGCCTGACCAGTCACAGCTTACACAGCAAAAAAAAAAATGATCCCTTGATATTCTTTTTTCAGAAGTATCTTTGCTTAAGTCTTAGTTAGTAAAAACATCTGATCGGTTGGAATACCATCCTGCAATACATGATTAGAAGAGAGCTAGAAGGTATAGGCATGGGTGAAAGTATGCCTGTGGGTAAGCTGATGACTCTCACTCATATTTACAGCTACACTCACTTTGGCTACAATTAGACCCAATGTATATACTCAACATTGCCTGTTTTTTCTCGAACATTTACCGGTTCTTCGGTGATATGCACACAGTTAAGAAAAGTCAATAAGCTATTCGCGCTACTCTATTTCGTATCGATGTGGTCATACATGGAACAATATTCTCGTCAATGAAATGGTTCGTTGTATACTCTGATAAGAGAGAGAGAGAGCCACACATATAATCATTTCTTATGATTCGTGTTTTTGAAAGAAGCAATTGTTTCAACATTATGTCTGCTTAGTAGCCATCAGACATTCGACTATCGCTATTCTAACAATTCTCAAATGATATTTGTGTTGTAAAATCATGTTATACAATATGCAACACGAGTATCATCGATGGAAATTGAACGATCGATACAAGGTATCAGCAACAATAATAACAACACATTTTCATCAGTTACTAAATTCTGTTCAAGAGTCTCTAGATCGATCGTTGTCAGCAATAGCATGCAATATTTCTGCATCAGATCAATACATTCTCCATCGGTCTGAAATGAAATACGACGTTGTTAATTTGCAAAGAAATGGTGTAGAATTTCGAGAATACAGAGTGTGAGTATTCAGTTAAGTCACATCCACACCCTAAAAGTCATTATCAAATTCTTTGTATCACCTCAACCATCTATCATTACCTTGGAAATTAAATCTGACCACCACCACTATCTAAAAAATTCCATTAATACACAAACAATTATGATATTACAGTAGCAAGTAAAAAATGAGTTTAATTTAAAATTGTTAAGATCTATTGATATATTAGGTGATGGTGGTGGTGGTAGTCAAGTTTAATTTTGAAGGTAATGACAGATAGTTGTGATAATACAAAGAATTTGATAATGACTTTTACTAAGGACGGAAATTCATTCAAAAACAAAAATTTTGTCTTTATTTTCATGTTTCATGTCCTGCATCCTATACAATGAAATATTAAATTATTAGTTGCTTTTATGATTTTTTTTAAATCAGTAAACTAGTCTATAATTTACTATACGAAAATATTTAATCAATAATCGTTTTGTTTTTGTCATTAAAAGTTTCACCAAGCAGTTTTTTTACGTGTACAGATCAACACATCAAATGTTGATAAGACAGTTTTAACAATTCAGATGATATTAACACAACAGATAGAATAATTTTGTAAGCAATACAGCATATAGTAGATGACCTTCATTTAGGTCAAATGAGCAACGTACTCAAGTATTGCGATCAGACATTCTCTTCTAAAAGTATATCATTCCAAAATTGACTAGAGCTTTCTATTGATAGAAAAATCTATTTGAATCAATCCCAAATATTTGCTACAATGATTGACGATCAATTAATTATGATAGGACGCCATGTTAGCGAATTTTAATTTTCCAAAAAAAAAACAAAACTTTTGTCATTAGACAAATAGTTGCTTTGTCTTTGCATATGTATGATCAAATAAGAAAAATTCTTAGAGAACGAAACAAAGAAAAAGTAACGATGGTTGTTGCATGCTGTAAAGATAAAATTTTAATATTCGCAAGGTATTGTTTGAGATTGACTTACTACGCATTTGTTTTTGGAAGGAGTTGTCGATCGTCTGCGTTAGTAAAGGTAGAAATGAATGAATGAAGCTTATTATGACTGAAAGTGACGAGTAACATGGCATGTTATTTTTTTTTTTCATTTTCTTCAATTTTTTCAATTTACAATGCAGAAGAAATATATATTTGTTTTTCAACTGCATTAATGAAATAATACACAAAAAACAACCTCAGGAAATAGGTAAGGTAAAACAATGTTTGACTGTTTGATAATGATTAGTTGTTTGTAAAATATATTATGATCATATCCCGTTTCATCTAGAATTCAATATTTATAGGAAATAAGCCAGTTTTAGAGTGTGCCTACGAATCATATAACAAATAATTTAAAACTTTATTTGAATGAATTATCTTTCAATTCATGGATAAGGAGTTTCAATTCAAAAATTGAAATCATATTCTATCTAACGAAAGAAAAAGAATTAGCTTTCTATTCTCTTATGTTCAATTACAACAGTCGAATACTTTTCAAGAACTTTTACAACAACTGCTATTTGATAAAGATAGATTGTGTATCAAAAATGTTTTTTTTTTCTCATAAGCTATTACTAAATTAGAATCATCATTTAATGATATGCGGTAAAAACATGTTCAAATTGTTTATCAATATATGTCTTTAGGTGCTCATTGTTTCTTTTTTAACCATACCTTAGACATATTGTTTAAAGTGGATTTTCAATTTCATAGCAAGAGTATAATCACTTTGATGTTTTCGAAATTTAGAAGATTAAGTTTAACTTTCAACCGTATAGAGTTATAATTTCTATAGTTCTTGATGATCCGGAGCAACATTATGAAAATTAATAAAAGTATAGAAATGATGAGATTCTAAGAAGCTAAGCGCGTTAAATATGTACAGCATGTAGAGTGACCTTTCAAATCTCTAGATTTTTAATTTATTCATAATTAAAAATCCATTAAAAATTTGAAATACTTGACTCCGAGGTCCAAATGAACCATGTTGACATATCTATCATGGCTTGTAGCAACACTCGAAAAGCCATCTTACAAGGAAGAAAATCAGATTTTTTTTAGGTTTAGGGTTTGAATGTTATGAATAAAAGCAAATTAAACTCAGCGATGTCTGCATGTGCATCTGTCTGTAACACGTTTTTTAAAACCATTCTGCGTTGTGATATGAGATTATTTTTCATTTTTTCCATTGGGAATTTTTTAAAACTTTATCTATCGATTAAATTATTGTGTTAGTTTAATTTGATCTTATATAGATTGAAAACACTTATTTGAATTCGAAATTATTTTCTCATCTACAAATATTTTCTGAATCCAAATCAACTATCGTAACTTGAATCTATTTTCGAATTTAGATTGAATTCTTCAATTTAATCGATGTATAACAAGCAAAAATCTGTTTTTTTTTTACACACCTACTAATATATCTACTTACTGTTTTCTCATCCCTTAGTCTACGGCCAAGGTGATCTGTATCCAATGAGCGTTATTTGTTAAATTAAAATAATAGTTAACATTCTATAATCTTAAATTCCATTATTGCACGATAACATCTCGGTCTTGGTTTATGAAACGGACTGGATATGTTTCATTTCCACGTTCTATAATTGAACACTCATTAAAAGTTATGTTTCATAAATTTCAAAACAAAATTCCAAAAGACTTATAATCTAGAAAAATATTTCAAATCTAAAGAACCTAAAGGCTAAGTTTCTCTCATGACATGACATTTCAGTTACGTTCTGTGAGTTTGAGCAATTCAATTTTGTCACTAATTAAACATATCAAGATTTTCTAAGAACTGTATTTGACAATAAATCGAAAAATCCACGAAAAAATTGATTCAAAACATAAAACTATTACGAAAAATTTCGAAATCGAAAGAAAAAAATAATCATCCAAAAATTCCCAAATCTGTTCATTTTGTCTATCCATCATATAAAACTATCTTTCAAGATATCATGAGTAATCCCAAAAAATATTAAAATTGCTGCTCAAAAGAGAAAACATGATTCTTTTTCTTAATGCATATCATGGAAGAATTCACGCCTAACAAAAAATACATCTCTTATCAACGTGAAGACACAGTGGTTTCAAAAACCATGTGTTACTAACAGATGCACAGACACGATCAAATCAATACCCGTTTGTGATAGGTTCTAGACTTTTTAGTTAGAAGAGAAAGTATTTTAAAATTGCTAACTCACATATGATAATTATCATTGATGAATTTTTGTTTTAGATAGAACAACCTATATAAATGTCACGAGGTGTAAAAGAAATAGTTCCCGATTACCACAGTAGTGAACCAAAATCAGTATCATCAAATGATTGTTATATGAGATTAGTAGGTTCAGTGGAAAATACTACACAACGGGAAAATTTCATAAAGACAATTGATTCTGAAGAAACAATGAAAGACCTTAATGAAGCTGTTGAAAGTATTTCAATTATGGAAAATGAAAATACTGAATTGATATTGGAATATATGACTTTGCATTACACTTTCAAAGAAGAAAACACTTTTGTACAAAGCGAACATACGAAATATGAAAGTTATTTTAATTCAGATTTCTATGATCTTATGAAGGATAAAGCATCATATGAAAAATTAGAAGAAATTTGTCGTAATTATGAAAAAATTAAAAGTGCTAATGTTGATCAGGCAATGGTAGAACACAATCAACGTGTTGCTAAAACAAATTCATATTTTATAGGTAAAGGTTCATCACAAAATGAAGCTAAAGCAGCAGCATTAGCTCTCTCGTTCTATACTGGTACGAAAAGTGGAATATCAAATCAAGATGCAAGTAATAAAACCAATATTGAATATCGTAGTCAGAGGGTAGTTATTGATAAACAAAGAGAAGAAAAGCCGATTGAAAAACTTATCATATGTAATTATTTATTACGAGCACTTTCAAAAATTCCATATTATCGAGGTTATGTCACACGAGCTTGTTCTCTGAAAGATGATGTGTTGAAATTATATATGCCGGGCTCATTAATTATCTGGACCCAATTTAATGGTACATTTAAAGGCAAATCAGTTTTGAACGATTTTGATTTTGTTCATCGAAACACATTTTTCAAGATCTATTCATTAACTGGTCGTCCGATTAAAACATTTTCAAATTATGAAGATGAAGATGAAATTTTATTTTTACCTGATTCTACATTTCTCGTCTTGAAACATGTAGCTTCTCATCATGGAACACAACATACACTTTATATGCGTCAAGTCGAATTAGGTCTATCGACATCGTCTATATTATGGGTTGATGATCGAATATTTAAAGATGATTGGAATAATGAAGAATATATGACCTATGCAGAAGCAAAAGATTTGAAGAAGAACATACGTTTCATTCAAAAATCAAATACTGATAATGCACTATCATTTCTTCGGTCACCATTTGGACAACGTCTTAAAAATAGAGACACATTTCGTATTGTTACTGACATGGGTCGTGATAATGAGCAACCGGCTTATAATGCAGGTGCACGTTTCATTAAAGGAATAAGAATGCTTGGCTTCAATAACCAATGTTTGGTATTCGTGGGTAATAAGGAAAGAACCGAAAAAATCATCAATACAGAGTTAGACGCTCATGAACGTCAATTTACAAAAGTAACTGTATCTTCTGATGACTTAAAAAGTTTCATTAGTTTTGAGAGTACATTGTAAATACATTGCTCATTCAAAATATTTTTGTGAAATGATTTCAAATTCATTTGTTTGTTTTTTTTAATAAATCTAATATATTCTAGAATTTTCAATCTTGTCATTATCATTATTTTTTCAAAACTAAAAAGCTATCAATACAATCTATTCAAGATTAAAATGTGAAATATGATCAAACCACTTCAATTGAACATAAAGAGACTGCTTGATATTAATTAAAATTCATGACACAATCAAAGGTATAACATGTCGGCGCAGCTTTGATAGATCGAAAAAAAAAACATATTGTAAGGAAAAAAAGTCGGATATATGTGCATGTTGAAATTTCAAACGTATGAGAAAAAATTGAAAAATTATGAAAAGCTTTGAGCAATTATTGAAATCTAACAATTGATTAAAATACTAGAAAATTCTCTTGTCCAAAAGTCTAAAATATTATTGTAACCGTTATGTCTGTCGCGGTCTATGAAACAGGTAGAGTGAGCACAATATTCATTCATTTTTCTCACTATAATCACAATCAAGATTGTCAAAGAGAGAAAAAAACGGATTTCAGTTATAAACAAGAAAAGAAACCATGAGTCCATCGAATTTTCAATGCTTTTTGTCTGCATTGTCACTATACACCATTTCTTTCATTGGCATCAGGTGATAAGGAGACTGATAGTTCACAGACCACTGGTCGCCTAACGATCGAGGGTGTGGGTGTGCGTGTGGTGCGAAGAAGATTCACATCCACTCTCTTTTACAACCTAACTTGTTGACAGCTAAATTCTTTACTTAAGAGCATATAAAGTTTTAAGAAAATTAGGACTGAGCACATTAGCCTACTCTAGTTCTTTATAGAATGGAGTAAAATAGCATTAAGTAAAGTTTATAAGGCAAGAGACTAGTAAGATCAGATCGATCTTGTCTTAAACACTCTTAATTATTCAAAAATTACTAATAAAATAATTGCGGCAATCGAATAAAATCAGAGTCAATCAAATTCTCGTTCCTCCACACCGAAATTCGTCTAATTTAATGGTCAGACTTTTTTCTAATAGTAAAATGATATCCAAGAAATCTGCTTATCGCTCTTGACATTAATTATTTATCTTCATAAGCTTCCGATGACTTCTAGATACTTGCATCAGACGAGAGCCTAATGAGTCAGGAGAGAATCAGTTCAGAGTGAACTAGTTTATTCTTCAAGCGAGAAGTTGGACCCTAATCGATAACAATCTCTTTCAATCTCCATTCACTTACAAACATTGCCAGAAATTCGAACCGATGATCAACCGTTAAGATGTCAATCGAACAATCTATCGGTTAGATATATAACAAATGGGAATTGCTTCCACTTGCTGAGATGAAATCTACAAAAGAATTTCGAAGAAAAAGAATACATGAATGCAGTCTTTTTTTCTTTTCCGACGATCACCGACAGGTTCTTGATCAACACATTTTTTTTCTAATCGTAAATGAATTGATCAATAAAATAGAGTCGCTCGAGTGTTGTGCAGAGCGTGTTTTTGATTTCAAAAACACAACATTCATTTTTCAAAAGAAAAGGAAAAAAACAAAAAAAAATCACTTTCTATTGCATCGAGCATCCAAATCATTTTCTTTTGTTGACGACGAGGCGTACACGCGTAAGGTAAGTATTTGCAATAGCAGAATTATGTGTATTGACTGTTATTTTCGACGGCTCTATAGGTACTCTTAATACATCTCGCGTTTATTCTACTAATACATTTTTCTATGCAGGATATTATTTCGACTCGAAGTGACTGAATTGAAAACATTGGTCTTTGTGCAACATCGTATTTATAAACAGATTACTCTTGTTTGATGATTATTAATCAGTAGACGCGAATATAGTAGAAGCAGACATATATGTAAGAGAGAAGAAATAGTTCGACTAGCATTTCTTCCAAGAAAAGTTCTCTTTTCCTTCAAATTGAGTAAGATTTTCATGTTTCTTTTTTTGTTACGACAACATCGACATATTGTCACATGTATTCGTTTGCTACCACAAGGATTGGACAGCACACTTCTTCGTCGCTTTCACTTTCCTAAAATCGCAGCTTTTGAGAAATAATATCGGCAGCATATCGAATTGTTTGTCATGCTTATTTCGATAACTGTACGATAATCGTGAGTAGCTTCCAGATAGGTTTGGATGTCTTTCCGTTTTTCTTTAATCTCAAACCATAGCCAAAGTCTGATTAATACTTACACGCACACCCTAGATAAAGCTGTCTCTTACATTAATATTGGAGAAGTCAATGGCATTGTTTTTTGAGTTCTATACTGAAGTATTGTCAATCTATTGGAATTCATCGTTGCTATCAGATGAATTCGGACTCATTGCTACGCTAGATTGTATGAGAAAAATGAAAGAGAAAATAAATATCGATTGGAGCCCATTCACAACTACATCGGTTTTATTTAGGAATCGATAAAAAAACTTTAAAGTTACACTATTGTTCTAGTTTTTTTTGTGTTTCTTCCATTTTGAAACCATCAAATTGGCTACCGATTAGTCGCTTCATCTAAAATATTCTATCGAAAAATTGATACTAAGGTGTTAGCTCACATTCAACAGTGCATCTTGATCTAAGAAGCATGAATAGTTTGTTCTGTCATATATCAAAGAGTAAGACCGTCAGTCTTCTTACTAGAGCGATAACAACTGTATGAACTATTAGTTCCAAGGATCGACAGCTTATTATAATACTACTTACAGAAACTGTTCTTTACGGCTTATTTAGTTTTCTGAGAGCTATTTATTTTGTCTATGAACAGATTACTCACGTCATCGAAAAAGATACTGGAAAAGGAACATTCTCACAATTCGTTGGAAATGTCGCCATCTTTTTTTATGCAACTGAAACTTGGCATCAAATGCCAAATATAAGTCTAAACATGGAAGTAACATAGTTACCCTAATAATACAGATTTGAATATTTTCAACAGAGTCAAAAATTAACAAACATATTGTCTCGAAACTTTGGCACCACGTAGTCAAACACTATTTTCTATAGCCTATAGTCATTTGTATACACATATAATGGTTTATATTCATATTTAGCATCCGTACTATACAGAATCCACAATAACATCCTATGAATTCCATTGGGACTCTACTTCTACTTTTCACACTCCGTCACCAATACAGCTAACAGTAAAATCACACATGTCAGCAGAAACACTGTCATTTCAGTTCAGCATCGTTGATAACAAGCTCGTATTGCAAGAACTACTAAAATCTGCGTCGATCAATCATAAGTTAGATGTTGGTTGATCCTTCTCGATGTGTTTCTTGGATACATTATATGCATAGAACTCTACTATTGATAGTTTGCAGACTGAATAGATACTAGCGGACAGAACTTTAGTCACCATAGACCAAGAAAAAGAGGTGGTATAGAAATTGCACTATATTCGATCGATTTTTTTCTTACCAAAAGGTTCTGCATCAGAGTCTCTAGCAAAAAATATACTTTCTTCAATGAATGAAGTGTCTTTCAATGTTTTTGAGTGGAGCACAGTTTCGCAAGTGAAATCAAGTATAGAATGTAAATTTTTTTCTTTTTTCATGCTTTTTCGTAGTACACTTAAATTCTTCTATTAGTATTGCGTTACTTGCTATACAGTTTCAGTTGATTGTCTGATCTGCGAAAGTCGTCTCATGTACTATACAAATCGGTGTCAGAACATTATAGATGAATAATCCATTTGTCCTTGTCTTGGTTGAACTCACATGATCGAATAGAGAACATAGAATAAAGAGCGAGGAGATGGTCTTCTTCATCGAATACAGAATAGAGTGAGACATCATTGTTATGGCAGTTGCTATGAATATCGATGACTAAAAGGATATTACCAAGTCTTTTTTCCTTCAGCCGTCAATCACTCAAGATTTTACAAGTGTTGTTCAGATTGAACTTTTCATTTTTAATTTTTTTTAATTTTTTTCTGTTTCACGTTTTCGAGATAAGAAATAGTATATAAAAATGTATATACATACATCCAATCATTATTTTCTTTGCCTTTTAATTCATAAACAGAGAAATGCTTTGATAATGATGTGAAATCACAGGTTAAGCCGTTTTATCGTGTATACTTGTTATTAGTTACCTTATTGAAGCAATGTAAAAGCATGAAATCCGTACGTCCTTGACAGTTCCACGTGATGTTTTTTGATTATGTATTTAAAGTCAATATTTTGTGCGTATTTTAATAATATTTTTTCTACTACAATAAGAATATATATTCATATCTTTTATACAATGTCATAATAGACAGATTTTATATGCAGTAAGAATAAAATGTAAATTTATTATGAAGACACTTATTTGTAAAAAAAACAAAAGAATGATCAGAAGAATATGTTCTTTTATCTCACAGTTAATAGAAGATACGGTTAACGTGAAGAAATATCTCATTCCATATTTCATCGCCATCTATTGTGTTTCTGATAATAATGACAACATGAGTAAGATATCCAATCGATTTTTCCATTCAGATCCATGATGATGGAATTTTTCTAATTTGTTCAAAGCAATCTAGTTAATTCATTCCGTTTTCTTCCATATTCATGATAATCAACTGTAGAAGCGAGGAGAAACAGAAGAAATCTTAAAGACAAAATTCTAGTGCTTGAATTTAAATCTCTATTCTTTCTTTGTCATATGTGTATTTCTCTCTCTCTCTCTGTCGTCTCTTGCACTTGAGTTGGGCTCTTTCTCATCTAGAATGAAAAATCTATTACAAACAGGAAATTTGATATTCTTTCACAGATCTTGTTAAACGATTAAAATAACTCGCTCTCATCTTGCCAAATATTGCCACAACCTTTCAGCTTCATTTTTCTATTTGCATGATATTCGATTTCGTCTGTTAAATTCAGAATTTGCCCACTTTGTTTTTTTTCATTTAACATCTACTGCATTATGTGTTCTCGGCTTTTAACCTTATGGAACATATTTTTTAAGGTATCCTTTTTGCTTCGATCA